GACTCACTTAAATTATTACATCTCTTCTACATAGATGAAAATGTTTCTTTGGATATACATGAAATATTGAATGATTTTTATATTTTCTATTAACTATTTTAAAATTAACATCATTAAAATGTATTTGTAAATAAATTGGTTGCAACAACTCTGGGTTTGGTCCCAGATTTTGCCATCAAAACATGAATTTTGCAACTCTGAGGAAAGGTGTCTTGACTACTTGGGAGTCAGAAAACATCTTGAGCTGCTTAGGACAACTCTGACAGCTGGAACTGCAAGGAGACAATTCAGTGCTGAAGTGCAAGGTATCCTGGACACCTCAAGCTGTTCAGAACAATAGGTCTGCGCTGAAGGTGTCCTAGACACCAGGAGCTGTTTAGCACAGCTCTGATGGTTAGAACTGCAAGGAGACAGTTCAGCCCTGGAGGGAAGTTTTTTTTCATACTTCTTGGGAAAGGTAGGCCTGGAACTGCTTCAGCAGCAAAGGATATCCTAACTGTTCAGGAAAGTCAGGGTATCCTGACTGTTCAGAGAAGTCAGGCTATACCTGGTGTGATGAGGGATGGTCTCCCTGTAGGATATAGCAATCCTGTTCCTCTCCTGGAGAGCCACTACAGCTGAGCTTCACTCAGCCCCCACTTAAGGAGGCTTCCTAGCAAAGTTCTGCTTCTTCTGCCTAAAAAATTGCAAATATGTAGCAATCTCCTCCAGCTCAGGAGAAAAGTGTTGCTTTTTAGCTCTCCTTTGCTCTGTCCACTGACAGACATCTCAGCAATGATCTTCTGTTCAGCTCGCCTTTGCTCAATCCAGTAAGTGATGCCTCAGCAAAGTTCTTCTGTTTATCTCCTCCTTGTCAATTGACTATGGGGGAATCTCAGCAAGGTTCTTCTGTTCAGCTCCTCCTTGCTTAATCCACTATGGGATATCTCAGCAAGGATCTTCTGTGCACTAGTGAATGAAGGTCTTCACACTCAAAACTATTTTGAGAAAGTGATTTATTTAAGAAGGATGAGTCCAGGAGAGTAGTTGCCTCTACCAGGGTGGAGAGAACAGCTCACAACTGAACAGGCAGGGCGGTTTACATAGGATGTCCTGGGGGTAGAGTCTACCCGTGATTGATTAGTTTTTTTTCCCAGGGATTGGCCAGTTTTGTGGGCTAGAGACAGAGATGGTCCCGATTAGCACAGCTTTGATAGCTGGAACTGCAAAAAGACAGTTCAGTCCTAGAAGGCAAGGTGTCCCAGATACCTAAAGCTGCTCAAAACAACAACTCTGGCCTGCAGGTGTCTTGGAAACCTGGAGCTGTTTAGCCCAACCCTGGAGGGAAGATTTTCTAACTTCTCAGGAAAGTCAGGCCTGGAAGTACTTCAGCAGAGAAGTGTATCCTGACTCTTCAGAAAAGTCAGGCTATACCTGGTGTGATGGGTGATGGTCTCCCTGCAAGATATAGCAATCCTGCTCCTCTCCTGTAGACCCACACCAGCTGAGCTTTGCTCAGCGCCCTCTTAAGGGGCCTTCCTAGCAAAGCCCTGCTTCTCTGGCCAAAGAAATTACAAAAATGTAGCAATCTCCTCTGGCTCAGGACAAAAGTGTTACTTTTCAGCTCTTTTTCTCTGTCTACTCAACAAGGATCTTCTGCTCAGCTCCTCCTTGCTCAATCCACTTGAAACATCTCATCAAGGTACTTTTGTTCAGCTCCTCCTTGTTGAATCCACTATGGTATATCTCAGTAAGGTTCTTCTATTCAGCTCCCCCTTGCTCAAAACACCTTGGGACGTCCCAATAAGGTTCTTCTGTGCACCAGTGAATGAAGGTCTTCACACCCAAAACACTTTTGAGATTTTTTTTTGGGGGGGGAGGAGTCCAGAAGAGTAGCTGATTCTACCAGGGTGGAGAGTACAATTGACCAGGCAGGGCAGTTTATATAGGATATTTTGGGGATAGAGTTAACCAATCAGTTTTTTTTTTCTGCCCAGTGTTTTGCCAGTTTTGTGGACTAGGACAAAGATGGTCCTGATTACAGGGACAAATTGTTCTTCTTTCACTGGCCTTTCTTGGCTTTTTGTCACTACCTTTAAGGGAAGGGCATATTTATTTCACTGACTCTGATTCTAGGGACCAAGAGTGTCATTTTGGCACCAGTTTCAGAGTCAGGGCATGTTACCTTGGTTCATTTCTCTGGCTCAGGTCCAACACATAAGTTATGTTTCTTTCCCTGGTTCTGGGCCCTAGGGACAGGATTCTGCTATCCTGTTCTGTGATTGGTTAGTTTCACAAGTTAGTTGGCCAGGGGCAGAGATGGCACTGATTTGAGCCAAACTGTGTTTTTTTTAAAGCTGGCCTTATCTGTGTCATTTTTCCTTAATTCTGGGCTCCAGGGTCATTGTGGGTTTCTTTACCCAGCCCCCTTTCCCTATACTTTTTACAAAACAACAATCATTGAAAGTACATCATCTACCCTTAGACTTGTTCTTAGGAGACTGACACACAAGGATCATGAATTCTAATGTATCCATGACTAATTACTGACATTCAAACCAAGCAGATAACAAACATTTCAAGGGGATTTATGAAAAAATATTAAAAATAAAACCATGAACAAAAATCCACCACCCTTTCACAAACACCCTTACTTAAAAAGTATGATCACATACTACCTGAGAGTTAAATAAAAATGAACCACTTAGATGATAGCCATCCCATTCTACACAAGGCAGCAGATAAAAATCTCTGAATAAGTGAAAGTGCCAAAGAAGGTGAACAAAAGCCACAGAATGAATATAAGGACCACAAAATAAACTTTACTAATTGAATTTGCCTTATATCCCACACTTCAGTATCTTACTCAAATGTTGCCAAATAGAAGCTGCAATGGGAACTTTATATCAGTCTTCAGTGAACTTGGTTAATAATTTACTTACATCAAATCTACAACAAAAAAAGTCTTAAAACGGGTTTTTTTCATTGAAACTGAAAACAACTGTGTTAAAGTCTTAACCAAATTGTTTACATAGTTTTCTTTTATATGAGTACCTATCTGTTTTCTTATATCAAGAGAATATAAAAAGCTTTAAAATATTGACAGGGATAGAGACATGATCAAGCCTTTAACACAAGTTGATTTCCTGGACCAAGATCAGATTTTTGGATGACTTCCAGTAACTCTTGCAAGAAGCTCCAAGGGTCTAACCTTCTTGGGAACCAGAATGCACATTCATACACCAAGAGGAAGACAGACAGACAGACACACACACACACAAACACACACACAGCATAATTAAATAAAGTCAAATCTTTAAACTAATTTTCAATCATGAATGTTTTTCTATTATAATTTTGGTAGCATGGGTTTTGAGGCATCTAAAGGATTACAAAGTTTTTCTCAATCACGAATTAGTCCATGTAACAGATAGCAAGCATGTAGGCTTGAAGTCAGAGTATTCTATCATTTTCAGTCTCTGAAAGATTTCAGAAAATTTAGAAAATGATACCTGCTGGAAGAAATCGGTTTTGAGGGTTGGCCTGAGTATTTACATCTGCACACCATTTCCAATTTACACTTTCTGCTTTATGCTGCAGGACAAGAATGTGAACTCTAAAGCCCGGTGGTAGTGGCACATGCCCTTAATCCCAGGACTTGGGAGGCAGAGTCAGGCCTACCTTTGTGAGTTCAAGTTCGGCCTGGTCTACAGAGTGAGATGTATGAAAGGCACAAAGCTATGCAGAGAAACCCTGTCTCGAAAAAACAAAACAAAACAAAATAGTGTGGAATCTTAACTGCCTGCTTTAGCTGCCATGTCTGACACTTGTTTCCATGCCACTTTTACAGGGTTCCTGTATTTCTCTGGAATCAAGGGCCAAGTTAAACCCTTTTCTCAGTTCACTTAGATATGATCCATTATCAAAGCAACAGAAAAGCAAAAATATACATCTATGAAATTTTACACCAGAATTTATTATTTCATGTACTTGAAGAGAGGTGTCTTCCAGAAGTGTGTAGGTCAGTTAGCCTTCAAAAGCAGAAACTCAAAAAGATGGAAAGTGATGGGCAGGATAGTGCACGCCTTTAATGCCAGTACGCAGGAATCAGAGGCAAGTGGAACTCTATCAGTTTGAGGCCAGCCTGCTCTACAAAGTGAGTTTCAGGACAGCCAGGGATATGTAAAGACCTTGTTTTAGTTACCTTATCATTTAACTTTATAGGCCTTTTTGTCCATATTAGTTGACATGTGTAAACAAAATAAAAAGAGACATTATAATGCTTGAACAAATTGTTGACACAGTTTAGATTTTGTTCCAAAATAATTTTGTGTAATGGAATGTAAGTATGTGGCCTGAAATCATAACAATTCATATAGATTCAGATTGCCTTTGGTATGAATTTTTTTCAGATCCTCAAAGTCTAATGTTAAGAGACCAATTACACACTAAAAGTTTTACAGTTATAGGGTTGCTCTGTGTTGTGACTAGACATTGCCACATTGATTACATTCTTAGGGTTTTTCTCCAGTATGTGTTCTTTAATATACTTGAAGATGACTGAGATGTGCTAAGGCCTTACCACACTGCTTACATTCATATGGTTTTTCTCAATTATGTGTTCTTTCATTGAATATAATAGCACTATGATGAACAAAGCCTTTACCACAGTGATCACAATTGTATGCTTCACTCCAGTATGTGTTATATTATAACTTTGAAGATGAGAGTGATGAGCAAAGGCTTGTAGAACACTGTTTACATTCATAGGGTTTCTTTCCAACAAATGTAATATCATGCCTTGAAGATGACAGTGTTGTGCAAAGGCTTTTTCCCACTGATTACATTCATAGGGTTTCTCTCCAGTGTGTGTTTTTGTATGCCTTTGAAGATCACTATTACATACAAGGGCTTTAACACATTGTTTACATACATAGGGTTTTTCTCCCATGTGTACTTTCATACAATTAAAGAGCATTGTGACAAGCAAAGGCTTTACCACACTGACTACATTCAAAGGGTTACTCTCCAGTATGTGTTCTTTTGTGTACTTGAAGATAACTTGGCTGTGCAAAGGTTTTACCACATTGTTTACATTCATAATGCTTCTCTCCAGTATGTATTCTTTCATGCATTTGAAGATGAGAGTGACAATCAAAGGCTTTACCACACTAAGTACATTCAAAGGGTTTCTCTCCTGTATGTGCTCTTTCATGCAGTTGAAGAGCACTGTGTCGAGCAAAGGCTTTACCACACTGATTACATTTATAGGGTTTCTCTCCACTATGTTTTCTTTTGTGCAGTTGAAGACCACTGTGTTGAGCAAAGGCTTTACCACACTGATTACATTTATAGGGTTTCTCTCCTGTATGTGTTCTTTTGTGTACTTGAAGATAATATGGCTGTGTAAAGGCTTTACCACATTGTTTACATTCATAGGGTTTCTCTCCAGTATGTGTTCTTTTATGTACTTGAAGATGACTAAATTGTACAAAAGCTTTACCACATTGTTTACATTCATAGGGTTTCTCTCCAGTATGTGTTCTTTTATGTACTTGAAGATGATTGTGACAAACAAAGGCTTTACCACACTGATTACATTCATAGGGTTTCTCTCCAGTATGTGTTCTTTTATGTACTTGAAGATCATTGTGACGAACAAAGGCTTTACCACACTGATTACATTCATAGGGTTTCTCTCCAGTATGTGTTCTTTTATGTACTTGAAGATCATTGTGACGAACAAAGGCTTTACCACACTGATTACATTCATAGGGTTTCTCTCCAGTATGTTTTCTTTTGTGCAGTTGAAAACCACTGTGGTGAGCAAAAGCTTTACCACACTGATTACATTTATAGGGTTTCTCCCCTGTATGTGTTCTTTTGTGTACTTGAAGATCATTGTGATGAACAAAGGCTTTACCACACTGATTACATTCATAGGGTTTCTCTCCAGTATATGTTTTTTTATGTACTTGAAGATGACTAGATTGTACAAAAGCTTTACCACACTGATTACATTCATAGGGTTTCTCTCCAATATGTGTTCTTTCATGCAGTTGAAGAGCACTGTGTTGAGCACAGGCTTTACCACATTGATTACATTTATAGGGTTTCTCTCCAGTATGTGTTCTTTTATGTATTTGAAGATGAGTGGGGTGGCCAAAGGCTTTACCATAATGATTATTTTCAAAGGGTTTCTCTTCAGTATGTGTTTTTGCATGCCTTTGAGGATGACTATGACATTCAAAGGCTTTACCACATTCAATATATTCATATGATTTTTCTGTAGTATGACTTCTTTCATACCTGCAAGAATAATTGAAACATTTAAAAGATTTACCACATTCATTACATTGTTGAGTATTTATATCTTCATGAATTAATTTTACAATTTGGTCTAAGTATAAAGAGAACTGAGATCTTAAAGATTTAACATGTTGTTTACACTCATGTTGTTCCCCTGCATTAAGGATGACTTTGCATATTTGAATATGCCTTGATGGTAAGAGCCTTTATTACCTGGCTAATATTTGTGGCTTCATTGTTCTCTGAGGTTTTTCACATATTTAAAGAGAACTGGGAGAATTTGGACATTTATGTCCCTTGTTCCATTGATAAAGTTACCAATACTGTGAGTCATGCTATATGTAGAAAGTTAACCCGGACAAACAGAATCATGTACACAGACATTCCTAGTGCCCATAGGGCTTTTCTGTGGTGTATTTGTTGATCTATTTTTAATGAATCTGGAAAACCAATTGTTTGTAAACTTGAATCACATTCAACAAGTATACTCAACATGGGACTACTACATGTCTTTTAAGTGTTCTGAGATTGAGAGATGTGCATAGCTTCCTCCATGTCCTTATGTTTTTATGGCTGGTATCCAAAGTGACATATAATATAACTATTAAAGAAAGAATAACAACAAGTATATTTCCACATTTCATTTACAGTTGGACTTTCTGTTCCTCATCAATGTGTGGCACAGGGAATAATGTTTCTCTACAACAACCCCCCCTTTACTCTTGACTCGAACTACCTATTTAACTGAAATTAGCAAAGACAGAACAACTATATGAGTAACTATACTATGGACTATTTGCTTATTACAAGGTTGTGTATATATTCTTATCACATAGTCAATGAGTATATCTTTTGTAATATGTAATAATATGAAACTAAATGGATTGCCATTTGTACAGCATAGCTTTGATGATGCTATTATTCAAATGGTGATTTGTCATAGGCATTTTTTGTCTTCCTTCTTAAAAGAATCACTTGCAAACACAAATCGCTTACCTGCCATGTGTCTTTATGAGCATTTAATGATCATCAATGCATTTTAAGCTGTAATTATTTACACTGTTTAATTTAATTAAAACATCCACATAAATTAAATATAACCAGAGTCCCATTTCTATCAGTTTTTACAAGAAAATTACCTTCCATGTTTTTGAGAACTTTGACAATGTTCTTCAACTTCAAGAATTTCCCAGTTGTAGCCTAAAATGTAGGATGAGAAAATGTATGAAATACTGCAGGATACTGAAAATTTTACATTACTATCTTCAGTGATCCTTAGAATCAAATCTTATTTATTCACCTCGTTTTTCCTCATTCTCAATCACAATTGCAGAAGAGCATCAACAACTAAGAAACAGTTGTCCCTTTCTTTAAAATGTGAAGGAAAATTTATATTATTACCTATAGCTGTGAGGTTCATATAAGTCTCCAGCATCACATCTTTGTAGAGATTCCTCTGTGAAGGATCCATCAATGCCCACTCTTCCTGAGTGATGTCGATATGCACATCATTATAGGTCACTGTATTCTAAAATATACCATACATAAATATGCCAACCATATGTATAAAACAAAAAGCATGATACAGCATTGTAAATGTGTGCTTCTTTTAGAATATAGCCATATAATTCTGGTTAGAGCTACACAAATTCTATAACTCAGACATTAAAATGAAATCAAATTACTTCAAAAATAAACTGAATAGGAGGTTGACCTCTATTATTTCTGAATGCTCTGAACAGGATACCACCTTGCAAGAGAAATCCCTATTAACAGAGATAGAGAGACAAGCAAACACTTCAACAGTACTGAGCACCCATTAGAGAAATTATATGAACAATTATTAACTACAGAGAAGATTTGTAAGCTGAGCATATTGGCTCACGCCTTTAATCCCAGAACTTAGAAGGTAGAAGCAGGTATATGTGCTTCTGATGTGAAAGTTAGCCTAGTCTTTGCTAACTGCATCTGCACTGAATCTTCCATTCAAACAAACAAAAAAGATAAGATGAACTCAGAGATTTTTTTTTTACTGAAGATCCTACAAAGAGTTTGGCATTCACTCCAGGGCTCTATTCATTTTCCAGAAACCTGAATTTCTCCAGTTTAAACTGTACATTAATAAATCTTACTAAAAGTAACTGTGCGTTTAAATAGTTACAAATAGAAAGAAGATAACAATAGCAATATCAATGATAATCATAAATAATCAACACAGGGAATGAGAGATGGCTCATAAGTAAAAGATTTCTTACTGGTCTTGCATACAGATGGGCTCAATTGTCAGAACTTATATGGTGGAATCACACAACTGTTCATTATTCCAAGATTGTGGGTTCTAAGACCCTCTTTGAACTACTGTGAGGGCAGGTGTACATATGGTGCACATCCATGTATATAGACAAAAGAATTATATTCATTAAAAAACATCAAAACAAACACAAAAAGCAAGAAGAATGTCACACAATTGTAATCTAATGACTCAGAAGGCCCAGACACTACATCTAGAAAGAGAATGGTATCTTCTGCTGAATTTCAAAATTAAAACTGGGGGGTAAAGCTCAGCAAAACAACAAATGCTGCACATGTACAAAAAGATTTACTCTAGGATGACCACCCATTAATATATATTTAAAAAGCCTGGAATGTTGAATAACCTTTAATCTCATCATGTGGGAGCAAGAGTCAGGTGAATCTATGAGTTGGAGGCCAACTTGGTTTACAAAGCTACTTTTAGGAGACTCAGGGCTACTCAGTCAAAGCTTTTCTTCAGAAAAAAAATAGGAACAGCAAAATTTTAAAAAATTTAGGCTAGCAAAGTGACTTAGCATTGAATACCAATTCCATCAATTGTATTTTATGTGATTTCATGATACTATCTATACTGGTGGTGAAGTCATGGCAGCACAAGAAGGAAGATGGCTCATTCATTTCAACCACAACATAGTAGAAAGATAGAAAAGGAAATGGGTTGAGGCTATAGAAGCACATATCACCAGCCCCAATGAGATATTATATCATGAGAGGTTCCACAAGTACCACAAGGAAAGTCATCAAGGAGAGACACATGTTCAAATACCTCATCTATCTGGGATCTTTTTATTCAATTAACTAGATTCTCACCCAGGTCACTATAGGCTCAAGTGACATCCATGAAGAGAATGCATTTAGTCACTTCAATGATTCTCGTAGTCTGCAACAACTCCTACACTGTTGAAATGTCCAAAGGCTCTTTTGACACTCAAGACAAATTCTTTACTGTGGCATATTATAAAATCAGAAAACAATTTAAATATTTCCAACATGTGAATGGCACAGAAATTCCATTACCATCCCAAAGGAAAGGAACTAAGACACAGTGAGGAAAGATTTGACCAAGGGAAGACTGAAACCCAGCAGGGCAACCATTGAATATGGTAGCTAGCTCTGTGTCAGAGACATGAGCTTCATTTTCAAAGGGCTTAGATGGCTCTCTCTCTCCACAACTTCCCATACATCTCTTTCTATGGTAACCTCCATTCCCTATATGTAGCTAGCTCTCTATGTAAGATATTTCATAGCTTAATTATCTCAAAATCTTATGGTTTCAAAATACAACTCAGGCTTCATCCTCATAATATCATGCAATGAACTCAGACAGTCTTTTCTCTGGAGCTCTTACCATAGCAAACACAGATGCCTACAACAGAGCTGAACTGAAAATGCAGACTAAAAATGTATAATCTTAAATTTTACATCATTCTGGTCTCCAGAACCAGTTCAACATCAATCATTCCCCCAAATTTGGTTACTAAATTATGATGGCCTCTGCCATGCTTGGACCAGAGTTGCAGCTGACTTTGAATAAAGTTGCTTCCTGGGAATGGCAATCACTTTGCCAAATCCCTCCATTAACTGAGGGCATATAAGGATGGATTCTTACCCTTGGGGCACTTTGCTAGGTTTCTGATTGTAGATGTAACCAATGGTCTTATTAAATAAGAAACACATTGCCGATTCAGAGAAGAAAGCCAAGAGGTCAGAGCTAAGAGCCTCACCCTTCCTGATTCAGGGATCCTCTTCAGCCAAGAGAGCTCTCCGAAAAAAGGGCCTACTTCCTGTGTGTATATCTTTATATACTCTAGCTGCTCTGCCTTCTCATTGGTTGTAAACCCAAACATGTGACTGCCTCGTCACTGCCTGAATGAATGGCCCTCCAGGTACTTAAAGGCGTGCGCCACCGCTGTCACGCACTTGCTATGGCTCTAATAGCTCTGACCCCCAGGCAACTTTATTTATTAACATACAATTAAAATCACATTTCAGTACAAGTTAAATACCACCAAATTCTGATGTATAATAAGGGCCTTCTTTTTAATGGTGATAATCTCCCTGAACATTCCTGACTCTGGTCAGCATTTGACTACCTTCTGCAAATTCATAGTGCTCTTTTTCTCTACAACCAATAGACTTTTCATTTATTTATGATCCACTTCTTGATTTTTGTAATGTTGTACTGAATGAATCATAAGTAATAGCTATCCAAGAAAGTCAATACTCCATCTAAGAAATCAGCACCATTATTTTTTTAAAAGATTTAATTTTTTTATTATGTAAACAGTGTTCTTTCTGCAAGTCTACCATATGCCAGAATGGGGCATCAGATCTCATTATAGATGGTTGTGAGCAACTATGTGGTTGCTGGGAATTGAACTCAGGACCTCTGGAAGAGCAGACAATGCTCTTAACCTATGAGTCATCTCTCCAGCCCCCATTATTTTTTTAATTCTTCCTTACTCAATCAATTTCTTGAGGGCATGGAAAAATAAGAAAAGTGAGGGTCCAAAATATCACACACATGACCTCCATTTTAATTCTCACTGAAATCCTTTGACCTCTACCTCCATTGTTTGCAATACTTTTAACAGTATTTTATTCCAAGCATTACAAGAATGACCAATTGAGCTCATAATGCAGCTTTCTATGACTTTTGTCATCTAAATTTTGATATGTTCAACATTCCCACAAAAGTCACCATTCCCAGCACCTATGAACAACAGAATCACTTTGGGTTTACCACATTCTGTTACAACTTGCTTTTTTCTTGCTCTGATTCAATTCTCTACACGAAAGTACCTTAGGTGACAAATGTGCTTATTTGGCTCATTCTGCCAGATCACAATCCATCATTGTCAGTGTTTAGGATAGATATTCAATCTAGCAACTGAAGGCAAAAACCATGAGGAATCTTTGTTTCCAGGCTTTCTCTCTAACATAGTCATTGTCTTTTACGCCAAGCTTGCTGTCTTATCTAGTGCAGGTCAACTTTCTCAGGGATATTGCCCACTCAGTGGAAGGACTACCACTCATCAATCATCAATCAACAAAATCTCTCAAAAACTTAGCAACTAGCTACTCTGATGTGGCACATCCTCAACAGATGTTCCCAAAGGTGACTGTGAGCTCGGAAATGTTGACATCTGAAAGTAACTAGGAAACAGAGACAATAATATATGAGACTTTACAAAATGAATGAACTACATCAATAATATAAAGAGGAAAAAAATGATGATGATAACAAGGAGAAATATAGATACACCAAGAAATGAAGAAATAAAAGTTTCTAAGATCAAGAAGAAAAAAAACTAAAATTGTTCCTCCACAGAAAGACTCCAAATCAAAAACCTAAGGAACTTCTAACATAATATAGCAATTTTCCATAAAATAAAAATAAGTGAATCACCGGATGGTGGTGGCGCATGCCTTTAATCCCAGCACTCAGGAGGCCGAGGCAGGCGGATCTCTGTGAGTTCAAGGCCAGCGTGGTCTCCAAAGGGAGTTCCAGGAAAGGTGAAAAGCTACACAGAGAAACCCTGTTTCGAAAAAACGAAAAAAAAAAAAAGTGAAGTTCCATCATTTGCCAGAGAAACAATATAACCATATTATAACTAATAAAAACTCACACCATACAGATGGTAACACTGAAAAGAGGGGACAAAAAGACAGACCTACAAATATAACATTGTCCCTTGAAAAGTAATTATAAGTTTCTAATGAAAATCAAAATCAAAGAAATCACTGACTACCACTCACCCTGTGCACTCCAGTTCTCTCCTTCACAAATAATAGAAAATGGGTTGGGTGAGGAGACTGTTCCACCAAAATTGGAATCACTTACTTGAAGCCTGATATTTCTACTTTTTGTAGAAATTTTGGAGATATTGTAGAAAATAGTTTTGGCTACTAATACTATCTCATTCTCCTTTGATAAAAAAAGGATGTCTGTTAGAAAATTTAGAAATAATTTTGTTTCCTATGATTGAACATTAGATGTAAACCTGTATCAGAGTGAGGAAATGAATTGTTTTTTAAATAAATGAAAGACAATAGTTTTTTAAAGACATTGTATGATTTTATTATAACTTAAAGCAACCTGATTTCTCTAATTGCTTTATAAGACATAAGAGCTTTTGAAAACAAGTCTAGACCCAT